AAAAAAAAAAAATTTTGAAATTAGAGTGTACAGAGCGCGCGAAATTCAAAAAGTCACCTTACTTTTTGATCACACCTCGTACACAAATATACTTTTTAGTTGTAAATACATTAAATTTAATGTAATATCATGAAATTAAATTCAAATTGTGTAACTTAAAAGTTAACTTGAAATTTAAGAACATTTCTAACAGTGTACATCTAAAACAGTATCCTGATTGGCTCATCGGTTTAAGTTCACCTCTTAAGATTACTGTTACAGAAATTTTGTCTGCGGCAGCCCTAGTCGTACAAATTGGCTGTTGGTCAACTTCACCGATTCACCGATAAAACTTAGGATTACCGAATCATTGTAGAATCAGCATAATGAATAGCACCTATTTTCCGATTTTCGATCTGGTTTTCGGTTCAGGTTTTTAAAACATTGGTTCTTGAATAGTCACTTCAGTCGTATTGAATCGTAACGTCATAAGTGAGAAATGACACGTTGATTTTTTTTACATGCTACTTGTGAATAAAGAGAATTTAGATAAAACAAAATGAGATCGCTGTAAAGCACTTTGAAAATGAGCTGAAACTATCCTTCCCCCGACAGCCAATAAATATTCGAAAAAGGCTCGTTAAGTGAAAATAGGCTACGTATGCGTATTGACAGGAAAAAAGACTAAGGAGACTCCACTCAGTCTAGCCAGCCCTCAGAACATGGACCGATTTAGCGTTTCGAGTTAAGTTTTGATTCTCGACACACGCGGCGCTTGTGCATTTTGTAGTCCTTCGCATAATGAGTGCGCCGTAGAAAAAAGTGTTAACCCCGTTAGGCGATTCTGCGGTTAATCTTCCTTCCTGACGAAGATTAAGTTACGTTCGTAACACTTTTTCCTACGGCGCACTCATTATGCGCAGGACTACAAAATGCACAAGCGCCGCGTGTGTCGAGAATCGAAACTTAACTCGAAACGCAAAATCGGTCTACTTTTATTTACGTAAGTGGAGTCTCTTTAATCTTCCTTCCTGCATATCGAGTAAAAACTAGTAAACGCACTTTACGTGCTTTTTATGATTATTTACTGACAGGGGGAATAAGGATAGTTTAGCCAATTTTTGTAAGTGTTTTACAACGATTTCATTATTCATTTTATCCAAATTGTTTTTATTTACAAATGGCATGTAAAAAAATCAATGTATCGCTTATATAACACATTTCTCACTTATGATGGGTGTTTTCCAACAATGTACACAGATGATATAGTATAATACTGTGTCTTACGCAAAGTGTTCCAACTGTAACACAATGTTATACTGCTCGACATTAAAAAAGCTAAGTACGAGCGTGTAAAATATGTCAATGTTACTAACTTTTCAAAAAGTTATTTGGTAACCGTACTTATTTTGCAATAAAATCATAAAAATCGCTAATTCTGAAAAAATTATAACTTAAGTCTAAATAAGAATCATAAATTTATTATTGATATGCTAAATATAATCATAAGAATAAGAATAAAGACTACAATATATTCTGATGTTACACTATGAAACTAACTGCGTTTTAACAAGTATCTTACACAGTGGAACACAGCGAAATGTTCTATGATCTAGCTGGAAAACAGCCGATGTCACAATTCAATATGACTGAGGTGACTACTCATTCTTCAAATGTTTTTGTAAGAATTTTTTTATTTGGAGAAATTAGAAAATCCATAACCGCCATTTGAAACTCATTGGGGTGGGAGCACACGCGCGCGCGCACATACGCGTGCGCGCACAAACTTTGCGAGAGAAAAGGTGCTTTTTATTTGGCGACACAAGTCGATACAAATATTGTTTTTTGTTACTTACTGAATGACAAGAAGGATGCTTGTGTCACCGACTGAAAAGCACTTATTTATAACCATAAGTATTTCAGAATTTATGAACGGTAGTGTTTACTTACACACACACACACACACGCGCGCGCGCGCGAGCACAAAAAATGCGGAAAAATTTAAATAAATTCAGAACTTATTTAATACTAAAATCTAACACAAGAATTTGAAGAAGCATAAAAAATTACGTATATAATGTCTTTGTGTATATTTCGTATTATTAGATCTAAATTTATAAAAAAAAAATTTGTTTAACACTAGATATAGTTAATATTATTTTGCATTTTATAAAGCTCTTAATTTTTCGGATTTTTCCGCATGTTTGATATTTTGTATCGTTAAATTCATTATCCTTTTTTTATATTATTGATTTTGTGTGAGCTTTACTTGTCTAAGCAATTGTGCAGCTGTGTGCAAAACTCTTTGCCATTTCCTCATTTCTACATTGTGCAAGCTTTCTTGCTGTTGCAAAAGGTTAATCCAATCTTCTTCAGTTTTTGGCGTATTTCTGAAAGAGTCAGAAGACGTTAATATAACACATATATGAAAAAGAATGTTATCTACATACATAAAAGAAATCGATAATATGTACTTGAGTACATGTAAGTCCATAATAGTGTACGCAGCAGCTTCTTCCAATCCCCATAGTTTGTAATATAACAAACCATTAATTACCATTAAACATAATACAGCGACTAGTAGCATTGAACTGAGAATTATATTGGTATCGCTTCTAGTATTAGTAGCTATGTGAAAGAAAAAAATACATGTAACTTAATTCACAATATACAGGGTGAATCTTAATTCGTATCCTAACATTTCATCATAGGAGATAATTTACCGATTACAACTGGAAAAAGCGTAAGAGAGAGTGAAATATTCGTTTCCCATGATAAAACGTTGGGACACGAATTAAGATTCATCCTGTATATAACAAGTATAGTAGCAAAATATTGCATTATTTTACCGTGATTGTGCGACAAGTTAGAGGGAGAAATTTGATGATTCACAGATATGTGTTCGGAAGTATGTGTTTGCAATGCGGCGCCTACACCCGTCGCGCGCCGTCGTTTTCTCGTTTTTCTTTTTAAACCTCCACTTCCATTACCTTCTTCGCATTCCACTGTTAAGGCTTTTATTAAACTATTAAAATACTCTTCTAAGCCCGCCCAACAGTTCTTTTCCAACACACCTATTTTTTTAAGAAACAGAATATGCCAGTTTATTTCTCATTATTTTGTCAATGTCGCATGTATCAAATATTTTAACATCTTGGAACAAAGAGTATTACAATTCAAGAAGTGCAAATTTTTGATAAATATTAAAAAAATATTGGGGCCTTGAAAGTTCTCGCTGTTTTCCAACAGATCGCGTTAACAGAACTGTGTGCGTGTAGTTGAAAATGGGAACACATCGATAAGGAACTATGATAAGCAAGCTTGAAATTCAGTGTATGTCATCTCGCCGAAGTGTAAACAACTTTTTGTTTCATAGTGTTAAACATATCGAGTTTCGTGCCAACAAAAGAGTATTTGCAGGGAATTTTACTGCACTACTTTATTAAAAAAAAATCTGCAGCTGAAGCACACAGAATTCTTGTTGAGACTTACGGCGACCATGTTCTGTCGGAATGCAGAGATTGGTTTAGACGCTTCAAAAATAATGATTTTGATGTTGAAAATAAAGAACGCTCTGGCGAACCGAAAAAGTTTGAAGACGAAGAATTGGAGGCATTACTGCAGACTTATTAGGAGTTGATCACACAACAGTTTCGAAACGTTTGAAATTATTGGGAATGATTCAAAAGCAAGGACATTGGGTGCCGAACGAGTTGAAGCCGAGAGACATCGAACGGCGTCTTTTCACGTGTGAACAGCTGCTTCAACGGCAGAAAAGGAAAGAGTTTTTGTATCGTGACTTGCGATGAAAAGTGGATACACTACGATAACCCTAAGCGTAGAAGATCGTGGGGTAAGCCCGGTCATGCATCAACATCATCGGTAAAGCCGAATATCCATGGTTTGAAGCTTCTGCTCTGCATTTGGTGGGATCAGCTGGGTGTAGTTTATTATGAGCTGCTCAAACCGAATAAAACCATTACAGGAGCTCGCTATCGACTACAATTGATGCGTTTGAGCCGAGCATTGAAGGAAAAACGGCCGTTATACGAGCAGAGACACGACAAAGTAATTTTGCAATATGACAACGCACGGCTACATGTTGCACAACCGGTGAAAACCTACTTGGAAATGCTTAAATGGGAAGTCTTACCCCACCCGCCGTATTCACCAGACATTGCCCCTTCCGATTATCATCTGTTCCGATCGATAGCACATGGGCTGGCTGAGCAGCACTTTCATTCTTATGATGATGCCAAAAAATGGGTCGACTCTTGGATAGCCTTAAAAGACATGTCGTTTTTCCGACGTGGAATTCAAATGCTGCCAGAAAGATGGGAAAAAGTAGTGGCTAGCGATGGACAATACTTTCAGTGACATGTTTTTTACAACTTTTTTAAAATAAAACATTTTTCACGAAAAATCAGCGAGAACTTATTCAAGGTCCAAATATATAAATTTTTAATAAATTTCAATAAAAAATTTAAAAATTCAATCAAGTTTATAAGAAATTAATATGTTTGCGCAATGTGTAAATCAATTATTATTATTATTACGTCGACAAATTGATTAAAGATTATTTTCAATGACCAATATCTAAGGTATAATAATAAAAAAATAGATAAGATTCCAAATAAGATATATGTATAATGCCGAATCTTATCCATGAAAATAACTTTTAAGTCTATAACTCCATAATTTTTTGGATCCCAATTCAACTTGTAATTTTCTAGGAACTTTTAAAAATCATAATACTCTTTTTCTCCAAACTGTAATTGATCTTTACAATTATGTTAATTTTGAAACTTACTTTTCACAAAACCCCATACGCTTTTTTTATACTTAATTTGTGAGTAAATTATAAGACTTGTCTCGTTTTCGGAAATATTATTCATACAATAATGTGTTAAAACACTGAAAGAATCAGCATAAGGTATACCGGCGTTAACGCTTTCTACATCGATACAATAAAGATGACCTGGTCTACTGCATGGTAACATCACCTGTGTATAATATATTATATTTAAAAAGCAATAATGCACGCGAGAGATAAGTTATTACTAAGACAGAATTTCATTTTTACCTGCGTTTCTGTAATTTGAGAGGTTCTTGGACCAATATTTTGAGTTAAGGACATCGTGTATGAAAGGGTTCTCATTTTTTGACCAGTTTGATTGTTTTGTGTCCACGCAGATTGTATTAAATCTAATAAGTGAAAACATTAGAAACAGGTAATAATAAATTTATAGCAGATAACGTGTATACATATACAGGGTGAATCAGAATCGTTGAACCAATTTTTTACCCTATGAGAAAATTATCGACTTCATACCTAATTAAACTATAATGTGCAGTCAATTATTTTCTCATAAGGTAAAAAGCAAGTTGAACGACTCTGATTCACCCTGTATATACATTATACCAGGGTATCAATCTGAAATTTTTTCCTAGGATGAAAAGTGAAAAGTAAAAAATTTCTCAGTTAACCCTAATCGGCTCAAGTGAACGGATTTTCGACGTTGACTTTGATTATTGACTGTATTCACAAAATGTAATGTTCGGCTATAAAAATGGTCATATCTTATGTTTTCAAGGTCGCTCTATCGATTGCCGCTGAAAAATTTTCAAAAAAATGACACCTAACCTCTATTTTTCAAAGAAATAAGGAAAAAATCCTGATTTTTCATTACTTTTTTTCTCTTTTTCTATATTTCTCGGCAGGAAAACATTTTTTTATCACTCCAAAGTCTATCAGAAAAGTGTTCTCGATACCTAAGGAATAAGATGATACCAAAGAAAAAATTTTTTTCCAAATCGGTGGTTTCAAAATGGCCGCTTACGGAATCATTTGCTTTCAATTTCTGAATATCGGTATTTACAATTCTTCTTTCTTGCTTCCAAGGTTAGATTGTCATTTTAGGAGCTTTTCGAGGTCGCTGAACACGATCTCGATGTCAAAAATACAAAATTCAAGATGGCGGATCCAATATGGCGGATGTCTGAAGCAAAAATCGTTTTTTCTTGTCGAATAAATCCAAATTTCCTCGTATGGGAGTTTTGGGGGTTGCTTATCACGATCCTGACGATAGAATTGTAAATTTCCCCATATACTCTTTTATACATAAACTGAATCCCTAATAAAAATTAAAAAAAAAATTATGAAAATGCAAACAAAAAACATGAAAAAATGGAAACAAAACATATACATAAAATATAAAAAATACAAAAATATGCATGAATATGAAAATAAATACAAAAATAGATATAATAATAATACATAAATACAATAAAATACATATAAAATACGGAAAATACAAAAAAAAATTCTCAATTGTGTCTACCTCCACGCGGTGAGAATCGGGCAACGTTCACCGATAAACGGCAACGAGGCAATACATTTCAAATCTAATATTTCAAAATTTACAATTCTATCGTCAAGATCGTGATAAGCAACCCCCAAAACTCCCATACGAGGAAATTTGGATTTATTCGACAAGAAAAAACGATTTTTACTTCAGACATCCACCATATTGGATCCGCCATCTTGAATTTTGTATTTTTGACATCGAGATCGTGTTCAGCAACCTCGAAAAGCTCCTAAAATGACAATCTAACCTTGGAAGCAAGAAAGAAGAATTGTAAATACCGATATTCAGAAATTGAAAGCAAATGATTCCGTAAGCGGCCATTTTGAAACCACCGATTTGGAAAAAAATTTTTTCTTTGGTATCATCTTATTCCTTAGGTATCGAGAACACTTTTCTGATAGACTTTGGAATGATAAAAAAATGTTTTCCTGCCGAGAAATATAGAAAAAGAGAAAAAAAATAATGAAAAATCAGGATTTTTTCTTATTTCTTTGAAAAATAGAGGTTAGGTGTCATTTTTTTGAAAATTTTTCAGCGGCAATCGTTAGAGCGACCTTGAAAACATAAGATATGACCATTTTTATAGCCGAACATTACATTTTGTGAATACAGTCAACAATCAAAGTCAACGTCGAAAATCCGTTCACTTGGGCCGATTAGGGTTAACTTCAATGGTTAAAATTTTCACTTTTCATCTTAGGAATAAAGTTTCATGACTGAAAAACAATACAATTAAAAGAAGGGTTACGAACCAAAAAACATTTACTTTAATATTTTAATTTACACACATATGTTTCCGTTTGTGTCATTTTCAATGTAATAAATAATAAATTTTGTTATGAACGATTTACATATTTACGGTTGAACGATTTTTAACATTAAATTTACTTCGCTTTTCTTTGGACCATCCCTCTTATATACAGGATGAGTCATTTTAATCTATGGACCCGAATATCTTCCAAATTACGGTATCTACAAAAAAATGGTTTAGATAAAAGTTGACCAGGGCAGAGGGGGTCATTTAATTGTACCATTGGTTTTGACCTTGAGGTCAATTTTGAAGGTTATTTCAAGGTCATGATGGTTTTTTTAAATGGGACACCCTATTTTTGACTGCGGATTTCGAAAGAGCGGAAAATTTTACATCAAACTTGTCTTATGAAAAAATTGTTTTTGCGACCTTGAAAAGGTCAAAAATGAAGGTCAAATGCCTGAAAAACGATCTGGTGTACTTTTTCTGAAATGACGTGGTTTTCTGGGTAACACAAATGTGCATAACGCTTGAAAAAAATCAATGAATTGTAAAAGTGTAAATCACTTTGACTAGCTTGACTTTGAGGTCAATTTTCAAGGTTGTTTGAGGCTCATAACGCATTTTTTTATTAGTAAACCCTATTTTCGACCGCAGAACCTGTTTTTTGACAATGGGCTCTTAAACAATATGGACTTACATGAGCATAGGGATTTTTTAGTTTTTCGACCTGACCTTTTGAAGGTCATATCAAAGTCAAAAGCCCTTTCATCTTACTTTTAGCGTTACCCGGAAACTACGACGTGGACGTAGTAAGTTCTGTTTCCTTTAGGGTGCTTGATTATCGTGAGTCCCCTTGCCTCTCACATCGGGGTGCTTGATTATCGTCAGTCCCCTTGCCTCTCACGTCGGGGTGCTTGATTATCGTGAGTCCCCTTGCCTCTCACTGACACTGTAATTTAAATGAATTACCCACGGAGTAATTGTTCAAAATTACCTCCGTTGGCTTCGAGGCATAACTGCAATCTGTTTTGAAAACTATTCACAGTTCTAAGCAGGGTAGCTCTAGGAATGGCTGCACAAGCTCTATGAATGCGGTCCATAAAATCATCTCTTGTGGTTGGTCGTTCAGCAAAAACAACATTTTTCAAGTATCCCCATAAAAAGAAATCAGGCGACGTCAGATCTGGTGAGCAAGGAGGCCATTCAACTGGACCCCTTCGTCCAATCCATCTGTCATTGTAAGTGGCATTTAAAAAGGCACGTACAATGAGTGCATAATGCAGTGCAGCACCATCTTGTTGAAGCCACATTCTTGCTCTTGTTGCTAAGTCTTCTAATAAGCCTGGTAAGTGATCTCTTAGCAACGATAAGTAACTGTGTCTATCAACGTTCTCTTCAAAAAAATAAGGTCCAATCAAATAACCATTTACAATGCTGCACCACACCATAATAGTCCATCGATTTTGATGATCTATTGGCCTATACCAGTGGGGATTAACATCTGACCAATAATGGCAGTTGTGTCTATTAAGTTGTCCGTTACTACAAAATGT